TTAAAGACAGTCAGTAGATGAGTTCCTTGGAACAACGGTTCCAAGGTTTATGTTCTCAATCAGTCATGAATATTTAAGGAGACAGGATTTCGAATGGTTCAACTGGAAGGACCAGGTATGTATATATTCACCCAACCAACCACCCTTTCCTCCACCTAAAATGTTGGCCTGCAGTCCTGTACCCAGCTAGCTGCATGAGAATCACCTGAGAGCTTTAAAACAAAAGATCCAAACCACGCTCATTCGGTAGGTCTGGATTGGACTCAGAAATCTACACGAGGGTTCCAAGGATGTGATTTCCATGCCTTGGAGGGAGATGTCAAGGAAAACTTGGGAGTATGAGAATTTAAGGTGAGCCTCAAATAAAGGATGGGTCCTACTAGATGGGGACAGGAGTTCAGTACAAACACAGAATGGAAAATACATACAGCCTAGCCTCTTCCCAAAGTTTCCAGAGCAAGAGACCTGTGGGTCTAAAATGTTACTATTCCATAGTTATTGTACAGTTAGATTATGTTTCCCAGAGGGTTGCAACTAAATATGTGAATTGTTAACAAATGGTAACTGACAAAAAAAAAATCCATATTTTAAAACAAATTTAATAAGCATTGTGATAAGAGCCTTTGATATGCTGATGATGGGCGCTTTCAAGGTCACAGTGGTAGCATGCAAAGTTTCCCAAACATATTTGACCACAGAAACCCCTATTGGACCACAGAAACCTGATTTTTTAATCGGTTGAGGTTCCAGAGAACTTGTTTTGGAAGTTACTCCTCTCTCGGTTTATATCTGTGTTTATTTATCTATCTGTAGTTATCGATTTATCTACACATTTAAGTACATATAGTAGGTGGTTTCCATTTTTACTCCTCTTCCACTGTCCAAACCCCTGCTCTATGCACAGTTGTGGGTGATCATGAGGTGGTGGTGTTTTGTGTTTTTTTTTTTAATCTTTAAACAGCTCACTAATTTATATAGTATCTCAGAGACGGTTATTAAAGGGTTTAACTTATTCTTGGAATCAATACTCCCAACACTTAGTGCTACATGGAAGCCTGCTGGATTTGAAATCCTATCAGTCCTATCAGCACCATCAATTCTCATTTACTCAGGTCACGGGCAAGGTGTAGATTATTAACATCCTCTGACCTCAAGTCCAACACCCCACACTGCTTGTCCGAAGAGTCCCCCTTGGACAGACCTGGGCCGAAAGCCCCGCCCACGATGGTCTGTGCACATACCCACACACATATTCACATTCCTCGTATCTCCCCTTTACTGGGTCAGTGTGTCCATCCCCAGCTGCTGTTTAGGCTGCTAACAGGTCCCCCTTTCTGGAGAATTGCCCACCACTGAGGGAGGCCACCTTGCCCCGGGAAGTAATGCCCCTCTGTCCCATAGAGCCTGATTGACCGACATGAGGGCAGGAGAGGCCGGCTCCTTTGCTGCAAGGGCGGGGTGGGGGTGGTTCACAGAGCCAAGGCTCTACTGGCTCTTTCCCTTCCATGCCAATGTCACTCCCTCCCTTACAGGTTTTTTCCAGAAGCACACACCTTTAAAAAGAACTTCCATAAGACATAGGAGACATCACTGCTAGGAAAACTGGAACAAAGTCACTGTCTATTGTGATCATGCCTTGATCTTGGATTTGGCCACGATACCCGGGGCCCTCTGATGTTGACTCTAACATACCCGGGGCCCTCTGATGTTGACTCTAACAGCCCTCCCCGCACTGGGTCCTTGCTGATGGCTCAGAGGTATCCACAGGCACCCCGACACAGTGAAATTCCACCACCTACACCGCTGAAGGTGACTTACTACCAGATGTCAGATTTGGCAAGACTAAATGGGAGTAAGTTGCTAAAAATGACCTACATGACTTCCTCACGCCACACGGCCATCCAGAGGCACCCACCCCTCCCCATGCCCCGCCCACCCCACGTGGTCACCCTGTCTTATCAAGTCTGCTGCCCGAACACCTCCGGGACTCACGCTGTCCATTCCCACAGCCCTGGGTTAGGTTCTCATCTCTTCCCCGGGCTACAGAGACCACCTAACCGGCCTACCTTGTTTGACCTTCCAACCCACCATTTCCTCATAGGTGAGTTGGCCTATTTCTCGCTCGCTTAGTACGCGTGCATGTCCCCTCACTCCTGAGACTCAGTCCAAACTTTCTAGCGTGTCTCACAAGCTGGGCAAGCGCGTTCCAGCCACCCTCTCTACTGTCGTCACACAGCTGCTTGACCTCCAAACTCCATGCTACCCCCCACCCCCTGCTCAACTCCCCGGGGAGCCTCCGGTGTGCCTCGCGGCTCCTCCTGCCCGGGGTGCTCACGCTTCAACGGTGTCTCCCGGGTACGGTCCCAGGTACCCTTCACGACTTCCGCCGCACATCGCCTCGGCCACGAAGCCTCGACTGACTCTCCCCAGGTGGCAACATGCTCGTGTGAGCCTCTCCGAGCACATAATTCTACTCCAGCACTTCTACATCATGGGCCATCCTTGGGACCTCTGCCACGCACATCACCTGGTAGCTGACTGGCTATTTTGATCAGCTCTGTCAACACATCCAAGTGAAAATGCCTACCTGGAATCACAAAGAGCAGCTGGTGCTAGTCAACGTCACGCCTCGGCGGAACTTAGTTACCACGCCAAGTCGGGGTCATTTGTGACTGAGGCAACGTGGCAGACGCTGCTGAGTATCTACTAAAAGAGGTTTCCTCTTCTTGAGAAACGGCGGTCTGCATGTCACTGCCTCCCTTGCAGTTAGGCGTGGTGGCTTAAGGAAGCTGCAGCCAGTGCAGAGTGAGAAGTGACGTGTTCCGCTTCCAGGCCGGGCCCCAAACTCCCCGCGAGTGCTCGCTCTCCCGCGCTTGCTTCCCTTCCAGCTTGAGACGGGGACACCAGGGTTCCTAGGTCGAGAAGGTGGCAGAGCTGCCGTCAGCCTGGCTCTCTCAAGGCCTACGTGGGGCAGAAGCCTCCTTTGTCCCACGAGCAAGAAATAAACCTCTACTGTGCTGAGTCATCTTATTTGGGGGGCATATTCGTTGCAGTAGCTGACGTCGCCCTAACGCGGGCAGACACTAGGGCGCAGCCATTCTAACGTAAAGGACGTGTTGATGCGATGTCAGAAAAACATAAAGCTTAAAATTACCAAGTACTGGGCAAAAACAGCTGCATGCGTTCCCGAGCCTGACTCCGTCGATGACCCTCACCTTTGTAGCGAGTCTAGGAAACAGTGAAACTCAGGGGTCAACACCACTCGCCGTGAGGTGGGCACGTGTGGATCAGTCACTAGGCTGGCGAGAGAGCCCTAGCTAGCTGCCCTCCAGGAAACTCCTTCCTAGAGGCAAAGCGTGCCCACCCATGGGACCAAACTTTTAAGTTCAGGTTACTTATCACATGTAGATCACTCCTTTGCATTTGGCAAAGAAAAAGCCACAGGCAGGTAAAAATCAAGTTGTCTAAAACATGGGTTACAAATACTTCCCATCAGACTGTGCTTATTCCTCTTTGCAGCCCAAGAGGTAGCGTGCTATCTGGCATACGGTAGGTATTCAGTAAATGTTTCTTAGATATTATGTAGGGAGGAATTCACAGCAATGGAAGGCTTCATTGTTTCACTACTCCTGTGACATTCATAATTACTTCTTCTGGTATTACCACATTACAAATGAAAACTCTGTATTCTGGGCAGTCATAATTATACACTATCCGTCAAACCATAAAATGTTTATAGCTGAGGCACATTCGGCCTGAAGATGAAGTGATATATTAACTTCTTGATCAGATGCCAGAGCTTACAGATGAATATGAAACAGACATCAATAATTACAGCTTGTACTGTAGCTGTTGGTTTCTAAACCTTTAAGTTCAATGAACAAGTAATAACTGGACAGACACACCCTTCAGAAATTAGAGGTGGGAAAAGATTACCTCATTCCATACCTGTCACACAGCAGGCCCCCTGCAGCAATTCAGCAAGAGGCAGCCCACGGCCCCCGGAGGAGGTTCGGGCCGGGGCTTCTAGAGCAATGCCAGGGAGTAGGCACAACGCAAACCGGGCCTAGGAGCACCCAGGAGCCAAGGCTTTTCTTGGGCACTACCCTCTGCTCTCCTTCCATCCCCTTTCATTCTGCATCTCCTTAAGAAACCTGTTCTGGATATAAAAGGCAGGTACCTAAATTCAATGTTTTAAAAACGTCATCTCAATAAGGAACATTTTTATGCCTTTTCTAACAAATCTAAAAAGCGGCTACTAACACTAATAGAAAGAGAAGTATCCCTCAGCTAATTCTTCATTTTACAAGCACGTCTGAAAACACTGCAGACTTCATGGCATTTAACGGAGAGTCTCCCCGAAGGCCTGTAGTTGTGTTCCGGGGATCCAGACCGCAGGGGCCAGTGTGGCAGGAAGCTACTCTGAAGGCACCACTGTATTTGAAGAAACGCTAGCAAATCGAACACTTATCTCCTTCTACTCAGAAGGAGAAACTGTTGAAGAAGCAACACGCTTCGTTTTAACACTGGCGCACAATGGGTTGGGGGCTCCTTTCTCAGTCTCTCCATGGCCGTCTAGATTGGCTATATACTGACTGCCACGTTCTTGACGGGAGTCACAAATCCCTTTCACGCCGAGTCTCGATGCGGAGGACAGCTCAACGCAGAGAGTGCGTGCGTGTTTCTTTCAAGGTGAGTAGTATGGAAGGAGGATAAAATAATAAAGACTAAAGAATGCAGTTCTGCTCATTTTATCAAAATCTATAGAGAACATCCCAACCTCAAAAATGGAAAATGGGTCTTATTGTCTCAGTATGCTACAGAGGTCATGAATAGATACATGCCGATAAAGCAATCGTTTGACAGTTCGTTGAAATTTACTCTAACATATAGTCCACTTTCTGGCAGAAAGCCTCTCACTAATTTAAATCTGAAAACCTAGAAAGATGCTCTGATTACTTCATAATAAAAATTAATTCCTTGAAATTCATTGCCCTGGGTTTCTAATGCTTTAGACTTTCAAAGTGCTTTCAGATCCATTACCATGTTAAAAGGCCCTGATGCCACAAATACCAATCTACATTTGGTTTTGGAAAAAGATTTTCGTGTACATATTTTGTCCAAATATTACTATTTGTTTCATGAAAGTCAGGACTAAGACTTTTAGTAGAGTGTAAATTTTAAGCCAATGAATAAACAGTTGGCTTGAAAAAATATTAAATTGACATGCAAAGCATTTGTTGCTCTGCCAGATACTAAAAATAAAAGCAACTTCTGCCAACATGGAAAAACTTGAATTGTTTCAGTTGGTTCTGAATTTGACTACTGGGTTTCACGAAGCTAATTTTCCAAAATGAGGTCTGACATAACATTACCTTGTTTCCCCCAAGCCTTATCTCATAAAAAAACACACACACAATTGGCATCTTACTCAAATATCAACCTCATATGGTACTTTTTATAGGTTAGCAGGACATAACATTTCTAAAACAGTGGTATCTTTACCTAACAAACAGAAATTTGGACATTTTGAAAATTAACTTTCATATTTTAAGAATTAAACTCAAACTTGTCTTAGCGTAAACAATAAGCTATGTTATTAAAATACTGAAAAGAGAGCATTTTAGACCAAAGGTATCAGGGAAATCAGTAGATTTTAAATGTGAGGTTCTAGGCTGTTACTCAAAGTTCAGATAACATTTTATTCCCACCCCTGGCCTGCCCCTCCCGTAGCTGTCTCTCTAAAAAAAAAAAAAACAAAAAAACAAAAACCAAGTGTGCTTAAAATACGGAGTTTGAGATTTATGATCAGTTGCAGAAACCTGTTTAACTAGTGATTTACAGTTTTGGCCAAGGTATTTAACTCTGTCATCAGAACTAATTATAGCAAACCTGAGATTATACATCCAAACTCTCCTTTTGGTGAAAGAAATAGAATGTTCTGCTGAAAATCAGAAACATCCTGAGGGCTCCCAACAATAACACACTACCAACTTTACTTCTCAGAACCAGCGCTATAAAACTCAAAATTACTGTTCCTTAGTAAGTTGTTTTAGCCTGAAGTACTTAAACAGTAAATCATAGTTACGTTAATGCCATACCAACGACTTGAAACATATTAATCTCGGTTAACAATAACTGACGTTTACACCCCTCATCTAATTCAGGCACTCGAGCAGTAGTAAACGCACATGCTGAAGCTTCAGGAACTGAAGTTATTACTGATCCAAAAAGAATCCTCATTTCACTGTGGACAGATGGAGAAGACAAATGACTATGCTTTTTGGGCAACATGGGTGCTCTAAGAATAATGTTCCCATTTTATTGCTTTACTGAGCAAAATGTCTAATTCAAATTAAAGCTGGTAAAATAAAACTGGTCCCAAATGACATGTCAGCAGGGTCAATCAAAGACACCCAGCCCCTTCCTCTCCCCCGAACCCCTCTCTTACCCCCACTCCACCTGCTGTACCACATTTTAGAGCTTTTCACAAACCTGGTCCCCCCAAAAATGGAGACTTATGAGATGCGGCTCCCCTCATCGAATGAGTCCGCTGCTATATCCGATTCCACCAAGGTGCCTTCACCGGGTTCAAATGCTCCGTGTGTGTCCGAGCCCCGGGGCAGGGCGGGGCAGGGCAATTGTCAGCGAGGGACAGGCTGAAGAAGGGCTGCAGTGGCTGGACTTCGGGTCACAGGCTCCCTGATCGGCCCCCAGAGAGGCCACTCCGGCAAGGCCTCAGCATGAGCAGAGGTAAAAACATGCCTGCAAGGGTCACTAAATGCTCTCAAGAAGGGGACACAGGAGAAGGAAAATGAGGCAGAGGCTGCAGGGAGATGCTGTCTCCGGGCCCGGTGTGCCCAAACGTCTACCCCACCCGCCTGCCCAACAACAGCTTCTTCCTGTTTCAGACAAAACACCGAACCGTGTAACGGCACGTCCCCCACGATGGATTATTTTAGGGAAAAGATTCCCATACCGTCAGCCTGTATTCACCTATTAGGAGTTTGAAATGTAATGTCGTGGGTAAACGCAACAGGAGATATTAAATCATAAAACGTGAGATTTTCCAGTATTTGGCCTGGGACACCTTTTCGTGATGAATTCTGTAAGCAGAAACACAACCTCCTAAAATCTTGCTTTTTCCATACTGGCTTTTCTCACCGAAGCAGAAGCAAGATAGGATTTTTATTCTCTTAAATACCAACTGGTTATTGACTTATTCCAGAACACAGAAAAAACATTAAACATGCTACCATAAGTTATGAAAATTTTGTTGCTACTGTAAGCCTAAAAATAACAAAGTAATAATAATGAAACGATCATCATGACTCATTTTCTGTGTTCCTGAATTTATATTCTCAACCCCGAGGAAGTTTACACCAGACAGCTAGAAAACCTCTGGCGGAGGCTGAGGAAGGCAGGTGAACGGCCGAAAGCTGCGATGGGCAATTCTTCCCTCTTCTAAGCGCTGGGCAGGGAGGGGCCAAACCAGCCAACGTCCAGGCCTATTTGCCAGCTTCTTACGGGATTTCTCAAAGCCCCTCTAGGAAGGCCTATGAAACACACATCTAAGAACAACTACTTCCCCCGGCACCGACCCACCTCACCCTCATTAACACATCGAACCTTTTAAGAAGGAATGGGGAAGAGGAGTAAAAATAATCAAACTATGTTCCTGGAAGGTTCCAAGTTATACCGTCTGGAGGTAGTCGTAACTGGCTAGTACGGTTGTGCCATTTTCTCTCCTAAGAGCCGTATCACAATTTAAGGAACAACAAGGCTGAGAGAGATATTTAGGAGGACATTTCCAGGCCGAGCTAAAGTTAAATCCTCCTCCAAATACTACTTTCTGCCCTTCTTAAAATTATGGTATTTTATCTCAAGGTATACAAAAATTAATCAATTGCTTTCATCATTTGATTGGGAAATATCAACTCTATTCCCTCCAATAAAGAACCAATAATTACTTTTATGATATTAAGATAATTCAAGTCATCTGTGAAAGTATCGGTTGAGACGTTCTCGCACTTACGACTAATCCTTCGTAAACAAATGCCAATCTTACAAACACAACTGCAGACGAAGTACAGGTACGCTGGGGACAGATAAGGAAGTACGAGGAGCTCACTGACTATGCTACACCAAACAGACGAAAAGTAAAACTGACTTTATGCTGGAGGGTTACATAAATAAATAATTAAAAAAATCCTATCTTTCTTCCTGGTACGTATACTTCGATTTCGTGCACAAATAACAGAATGCTCCGCTTCATTCGTGTCAACAGAATGAACTCTCTAGAAAAAGACTAAAAAGGTTTAATAACCAAACCCCACATTTTATGCTTATGTTTCTGGCTTCTGGCAGTTCCCTGACACAGTTAACATCGACAGGAGTATCTTCTCAGTCAATTGAGCAGCTGAAGACTCAAAGAAAAGCCCAAGTGAAGACTCAAATGCCTTGAGGAACGCTGGCAAGCTACATATATCCCATGTTGCTCTTGGTTTCCCATCTCTTCTTTGCTTCAAACCTAAAATAGAAAACATAAAAATCTCAATTTCTTTCTAAACACTTTCCTAAACACGCTTACTCGGTGCCAAAGTAAAATACACCGAAACATTTTCGCATACTCCACTGATGACAAACTAAATATGAAAAGGGATGAAGAAATGCCCCTGTGTTTATAATCTGATAAACGTGCAGCAAAGACACAAGGACTAAAATGAGTGAACAGTCACACACAAACTGGATTCACACAACGGATCCCAGGATTTCTGTAATTCCTATGAAGTTATTAGAATTACTAGTAAAAATCTTAAACTCACCCCCAGGCAAGCTTCTTCTTTTTTCGAGCAACCTGTGAATTTTCAGCATCCCGTTTGGCTTTTACAAAGTTGTGGCAGGCAACCGCTTTAGCAATTTTCACACCAAGCTAAGAATTACAAAGGAGAAAACCAAACAAACAAAAAGGTGAAAATAAATATTCCAGCTGATACAAGAATTACAGTAATACAAACACTTGAGAACTTGCGGCGAAGCCAGCCATACCTGCAAATCAGAAATTCTTATGCTCAGGCCCCCGTGAACAAGCAACGTAAACAAATGCACTCCGTGTGGCCCATACTTCCCTCACCTCCCACAGGCCCTAGACCCCGGTTGTGCCAGTCTCCTGGATGGAAATCCTTCCCAAACAGAGCCCCTCGAGGGTCCACAAGGATATGATGAAGATCTTCAAGCTATTCCAGCACTTCAGTAGGCCAAACAGGAATTTACCCCTGATAAGGCTGCGCAGACTGACAGAGACATCAAGTTTCTTTGCTCTGGGCTAGAATTACAGCAACTCAGTATGGTCACATCAGCTATCTCCTGCTGATCAGAAGCTCTGATTGGCAGTCATAGATGTGATTAATAAAACATGGGAAAGCTAATTACTGCTTCATAAACGCACTTTGCATGATGGGCAACAGCTTTTAGTTCACCAAGAGAGAAGAGAATATAAGGGGTGCTAAGAGGTGAAAAGGCTGGGCACGCGGACCACAGTACCTAAGCGCTTCCTCTGCAGGCCCCTCTACTCCTGCTCCACCTGACGCCTACCTGCCCCAGGCCGCTAAGGTCAATGAAAACCAAGCCTCCCACCCACCCCACCTCTACCTCCTAAGTTTTCTCTAAGCCAACCTAAAACAGTCTCTGTGTCTGTACTTCTCCGGCCCTTCAGCCTCTACGCCATCATCTTCGGTTCCCACACACAGGCCTACACACGGCTCTCTGGCTGCAGAACTGTTCCTCAGAGAGTATCTCCAGGACAGGACGGTCATCTTCCAGCTCTGGCGGCTCTGATGTTAAAAATACCTGCCTAGGGGCGCAGTCGGTTAAGCGTCCGACTTCAGCCAGGTCACGATCTCGCGGTCCGGGAGTTCGAGCCCCGCGTCGGGCTCTGGGCTGATGGCTCGGAGCCTGGAGCCTGTTTCCGATTCTGTGTCTCCCTCTCTCTCTGCCTCTCCCCCATTCATGCTCTGTCTCTCTCTGTCCCAAAAATAAAAATAAACGTTGAAAAAAGAAAAAAAATACCTGCCTATATGAACGGCTCAGGGATATCTGTGAAGAACCCAGGTTGAACAACAAAGGCTAAACATACACCTCCTTCTGGGGTCTCTTTCCCTTTCCCTGGACTCACCCTAATGAACGTTACCGGACAACAGACTCGCGGAAGAGAAGGAAGGACCTGGAAGCCGCTGTCAAATCAATGTGTTAAAGCCCGAGTTTTAGGGATCTGCTGGCCAACGGTGAGGCATCATGGGTGGCTAAGACCACACGCATGAGAAGTTGATTTAGGAAAATGAGGTTTCACATGCTTGACATTTCTTTCAGCTCGTTTCGGAGAAGAGTTTCCTTTAGGATGAAACGAACATGCAGGAATCAAGCACTGCTCGGGGCTTATAAATGAGAGCATAGAGTGGTTTGAGTTTCCAGTCCAGGTGAGAATACGCACCAAGAATGGAAGCAACCCAACAATCAAGCCAGAGGGCTGAACTGGTCAACACCAACAGCACAGGCACCGATGAAAGAATGATCAGCTGTGACTCGAGGGCCCACCTGGGGAAGCAGACCAACCTCAGAGTCTCAAAATTCATACCAACGCGAGCAGCACTTCATTATCTTTTTTCACAGGACAGTATTCACTCAACAAATATCAGGAGGGCGCAAACGCATGGCTTTGCCAGGCACTGTTCTAGGCACCGGAGACACAGCACTGAACAAAACCAGGCTTCTTTTCACACTGGGGGCTGGGAAGAAGGGGTCGCCAGTTGCGCTGCTTCAAAACTGGCCTTCTCTTGGTTGTCTCTTTGTTTCCGGTTGTTCATCACAGAAAAGTTCAGATACGTCAGCTAAGAAAGGGCTAAGAATCAAAGGGCTACAGCATCATCATCTCCAGGGAAAATGAAACGGGAAGGGCGCCGTGTGGCCTATTTATCATTAAGATGGATTCCCCTGAAAACCTTCCCATCTGCCATAAACGTGAAAATCAGGTCAGCACCTGTCGCGTGAGACCAGCCGCAACTACACTTATCAGACAAATCCCCGAATCCCACCGGCTGCCCTTGGACTTTTTGTTCCACTTCTGGTCGGCTGTGGCATGGCTGGGCTCTCCTCCGTCTTGTGGTGCCGGCCTCTCAGCGTGTGACTTTCGGGTTCGCGGCGGCAGAGGAAGGGGGCGGCCGCAGGGTCTCACACTGGCTCTCAAACGCTTTGGCACGGAAGTGACACACGTCACGTCTGCACACTGCCCTCTGGTCGCGACTACTCACGCAGTTCCCCCTGAAGCCGGGCAGCCGGGGACGTGGGGTGTTGCGGGCGAGCAGGGGAGCAGCGAGTGCACCTAGTGAACGGCCTACTGTCGTGAAACCCAGCTGGCTACCTGTGCTGATACGTGTGCTAGGTCTCTCCACATTCACGTAGAACATTCAGTATCTTCCCTGCCCTTCACCCTCCAAAAGGTAAAACGTGGAACTCTGCGTTTTCTACTTCACCATATTCCCATGTGTTACGTATCAAATGCCAACTTGGTACGGGAGAGTTTTGCCAAGCCCACCTCCCAACAGAAGTCCCAGTCGCCTAGTTCATCTCCTACTGAAACCAAGCCTGTGCAAGGAGGATAAAACAAAAATGGTCCGAACCATATCCGCCATGTACCGTCAACCACGTGAAAACATTATTTCCTAAAACCGTTGTAAATTAAGAGGTAGCTTACATGCCTAACTTACTGAGATTTTCCAACGTGGGTTTTCTGGATTGGGGATTGATAAACCAAAGAGTATCTCAGCGTGTTCGACTTAAATGGGACTCTTCATCTCAACGCGGTCATGCGCTCTAAGAACGTAAACGCTTTTCATTTTCTGGCAACGTTCAGGCCAAGCCAGCGCACTCAGCACCACAGTAAGGATTTAGAGCATACATTCCACAAGACATGGTATGAATCTGTTAACAGTAATTCATTAAAGTGTATGAAACATGTATTTACATGAGAGGGCTCCAGCATTTCTGTGGACTAAGTACATATAATAAATGACTGGGTACGTAGGCAATACTTTCAAACAGACCTCTTCGGGTACAAAGTGTATTTTCTAACTGTATCTTGCCTTGGGTTAGGTTAAATGGAATGTTCTTCGACTGATAAACATTCAACAAGCCTGGTCTATGTATTTACAGAAAGAATCTTTTAGCTCGTAATGATGATGAAAAGTCATATCAATTTTGTGTCCTTCACACGCTTAAAATGTGTCTCACTTATTCCTGTGGGGAAAGAAAAAAAGAACGGAAGTATTTGGAAATATGAAAGGATAATAAGATCTTCTATGGAAGAGACAGTTGAGAAGAAACTCATTTTCCCAGGCAAGATGACGAAGCCAAGTTCCCGGAGATAAAAGAATATCGTGCTATGTTTCAGTATTACAAATAACACAGGCCAACGAGAATCCTTTCACTCCTGTAAGAAGAAAAAT